GTGACATTAGGATACACCAGCTTGCCTGTACGTACAGGCCGGCACGCACACATTCACACCCTGTTACACCACTTCGAGAGCAAACTTCACACAGTTGACACATTTAAGCAGCGAAAAAACAACACGAATACGACATGTCTTGTGTGATGNAAGTAGATAATAAATCGAATTTACATAATTACTTTGAAGGTGAGATTTAATTTATTAATTTACGTTTAATTACGCTTCCGAACAGCAAATCAATCAATTACTAAACAACAGTTAAGTCATTAACAACAACAATAATTTAATAGTAGCGATTAAACTGTCAACTTAGCCGTTAAGGTGATAATTGTGAGACAAAAAATGACGTCATCGTAATTGATAGAGAATTGTTTATTAGAATAAAAAAATACTTAGCAAACATATATTCAGCACTAAAAATAAAGACAAGTGCCTAAAGGCACAGCTAAAGGTGCAATAAGCTTGACGTGCTGTCGACGTTAAGACAGCCCGTCTCAGCTTTAAGTTATATAGCAGACTTATCAACTCGGAAAGGGATAAACACCGTATTGCCGTGGTATTTCGGCCTTTCGCGAGATGTCATCGCCTTTCGCTGAGGCAAGTGTGCGTTGCAGTATGTAGTTTCATACAAAGAATACTTACTGACCGCCTCGAGTTGATACGGTTACGATCCCTTTCCGGGTAGAAAAGTGTACTACGTCCTTTATTCATTCATTTCACCCAGACAACATAAAGATTGTATAAGTGTAATGTATTATTTTCGTATAAAAATAGGTTTCCAATTAATTAAATTCACAATACTTTCCCATAGCACTAATAAACTATTTAAGTTATTTACCTGAATAATAGACCATTGTAGAGCAGGTGGAGTGGAAAGCCTTAGCTTGTCTGCTAGTAGTTTTCTCTTAGAGCCAAAGCACACGGTGCGTTGCGACGGCAGCGCGGCGCCCAGCAGGCTGAGTGTGATTTACATCAAATGTCCTCACTAGTGAGCGCGTAAAAAAATGTTGCTAAATGTATGGCGGATTGTACTGTGCCTCTAGCGGATATTTTCAAGAACTAAAATCTTTATAGATTTTTTAAATGCGCTAGTGAGCGCACTAGTGAGTGACGAATTTTATTGTAAACTCACACTAAGCCCTCAGAGCAGTGTCGCTGCGTCTTAGGTCTTGTTCCCACGGAAATATCCCGCGCAGGAACAGTTTTTTGCAGCATCCCGTTTAGTAGTACATATATACGTGTTTTAATATTAACGTTCACACGAACCATCAGGTGAGATACAGGCCAAGGGCTTCCTCGTTGTGGATAAAAAAAAACATCCCGTTTGCAGTGTCCCGCAAAGACCGATCGATTCGTATTTGTTATTCGAGTAAATATGTGTTCATCCGACAGTCCAGTTTTGTGGGATAAAGTAATGTGGAAACGAGCCCTTAGACCGTTTTCACATTTAGGCAACTTTAGCAGCGTGACAAACGCGCTACAGATGCGCTGAATTGCATACTAAATGACAACGGATGCTTGCCTTCACATTGTAAAAACGCCACTGCCGCGCTACTGTCGCCCTAATGTGAAAGCGGTCTTACATAGATTCTGTGGCGGTCAGATGAGCGGTACAGCGCCGCGTCGCGCGAAACGGCGAAATCTTAGCGGTGCGGCGCCGCAACGCGTCGTGTGCTTAGGCTCTTAGTGAATATGGCTCTAAGATAGAGCTACTGGAGTGTATAGCACTACATCTCCATATTTACATAAACAGATCACCGGCTGAGGCAGTGACGTGTGCGCGGGACTCTGATATATTGCGAATCTGAGTGGGGCACACACAAAATAGAATAGACACCCCATAGCTAAAGGAAAGATAATATTAAAATTAAAATTGTCAGTTTTGTACTTAAAGTAGATAAATGTTCTTAATTCTTAAAATATTATCCCACAACTTTAAAATAAATCAAAAGTTTTTCTTAGAAACTTTCATTTAATTAAACATTCTTCTAAGGTAGGTAATAGGTATGTCACTATAAACCTTCAAAATGTGGACGTGAATCTTATTAGATTCATGGTATTCCATGTAACTGTACAAACATTATGTACCAGCTACTAGTCACGTGTTACTCAATAGATATTATAATTCCACATTATTTTGTCAATTTTTAGAAATGTAACTTCCAAGTTGAAAAAAAATGGTCTTCCTATAACCTGAGCTACTTCATACCATTTTCTTGTCGCATATTTTGAATAAATTTACTCAATTTACATAAATTAAGTACGTGCTAATAACATTGGCGGAACAGTTTGCTCTCGTGGCGAAAAAACACAAGTTCATCGCGATCAACAAAAGAAGAAGAAATAAATCTGTGCTGGCTTCAACCTCATTCAGGCAATACACAAGACAGACAATCCAATTTGTTCATGACATGGCCGCACTCCCCAGGCTGTGGTCGCGACAAACAGATGACATGAAGTAACGCTTTGATTCATTAGCGTTAATAAGAGCCATGGAACAATCTAATTATGGCTGTGGGTGATATAAGCGATGATTGAATGGCCCATCTGATACGTTTGTTGTGTTCGCAAGTGAATAAATAAGGGAGAATATATTTTTTGTTCCAGTTGAAACTTCATTACAGTCATAGAAAGTCCACTTCTGAATGTAGGCCTCTCATTAGCACTTGTAGAAACTTAATACGTCCACGTATTTATTATAGATATTGATTCGTTCGTTCGTTTCAGCCAAATGACTACTATTGGACAAAGACCAAGGATTTCCCTAGCCAAAATAATAATAAAAAGGCGCACCACCAACTTTTAGTTGGCCGATAGTTGGACCCGATTTTATTTTTTATGAAGAATCGGCCGATACCAAATCGTTGTAATGTGCGCACTTCCATACATGCCCATACTGATTAACTGCCCGACTAAACTATAGGCCCATGAAAAATCGGTGGTCTGCGCCTAGGCTTAACAGCATCCAGGTTCTTCCCGCGACCTTCACCAGATCATCGGTCTACCTATTGGCAGGCCTGCCCACACTAGGTCTTCCGTCTCGTGATCGCCTCTCAAAAACTTTTCTGCCCTTACGACAAATTACTATTCTTTATATTAAATAAAGATGGTTGACTTGACAGAATACTCGTTTAATTATAAATTAAAATGAAATAACCAAATTGTCTTGTGTTTATTGCAATCTTTGATTTCGGCTAGTAAAATTATTCAGCAGCAAAATAACCCAGCCTTGCTAGCATAATTGCCCACACTCTACCCTGAAACACTTCACAAAAAACTACACCAATCAATTCTCACCTTTTGCCGTGACCTTGCCCAATTAGACCAATTGGACCACTCAGCAATAACAATAGTACAACTTAAAAGGTTTCTGTATTTATTTACCTTTATTTTTTCTGGTTTGGCATAAAAGAGCGGGCTTCAGCAGGTGCAGTCCGTAATAAACCTTCCAAAGAGAGAGAGAGGCATCATCAGCTCTCCAGTCTAATATGTAAGAGTATCGTTCGTTCGTTCGTTTCAGCCGAAAGACGTCCACTGCTGGACATAGGCCTCCCCCAAGGATTTCCACAAAGACCGGTCCTGCGCCGCTCGCATCCAAGCACCTCCCGCGACCTTCATCAGATCGTCGGTCCACCTAGAAGGAGGCCTGCCCACACTACGTCTTCCGGCTCGTGGTCGCCACTCAAGAACTTTCCTGCCCCAGCGGCTATCTGTGCCCCGCCCACTGCCACTTGATTTTAGCGATTCTGTGGGCTATGTCAGTCACTCTCTCCGTGGTTCTCCTACGGATCTCCTCATTTCTAATTCGATCACGCAGGGAAACTCTGAGCATAGCACGCTCCATCGCCCTTTGGGTGACCTCGAGCCTTCTTTTAGGCCCATAGTATGCAAGAGTATGTTGTTGCTTATTTGAATGAATAAATAAAGGTTTATTTGGCAAAATACCTATATTTGTTAATGAAAAGTGAGACCAAATTATGGTCTCATTTCTCACGCTGAAACAATTGAAGTTATCTCTCTCTTTCTCTGTCTGTCCTTCTTTTATCTTGTGGGTTGTCGTGTAGTTCCAGGAGAGTAGAATCTCCCACTCATACCGTGGCTATCTTAAAAAAGTTGTGGTAAATTACAGGGGTCTTACTATTGAATCTTCAATAGTAATCACCATCATCATCATCATTTCAGCCGCAGGACGTCCACTGCTGAACATAAGCCTCCCCCAATGATTTCCGCATCACCCGGTTGGTAGCGGCTTGCATCCAGCGCCTTACTGCTACCTTTATGAGGTCGTCGGTGCCACCTTGTGGTTGGACATCCCATGCTGCGTCTATAGTAATATTTTTAATGAATTATCCTACTTTTCCTTTTCCTTTTATGTTTTGATAAGGTGTTTTGTAACTGGCTTTCGTCACGCGATGTAAGCAGGCTAAAATGGACTATTTGCCATTTAGATGTATGTAACAGATTGTTGGTAAGATTGTACTTAATTATAACACTTTCGCTCTGGGCTTTTATTTATGGTGTAGGTAATTATGTGATAACACCAAGCTTCTGTGTAATTATTTATAATGAACATGTTTATCCGTACCAGACATGTTTTGACGTAAGAATAGCTTTTCTAAATTGTACTATTAAAACTTTTGTAATACCTTACATGATTGACGATTACACGTCAGTTTTGAAATACGATAAAAAGCATTTATGTGCTTGTGCTGCAAGCGATATGCAAATATGCGGGCCACTACTGCATCACAAACTACATAATGTTTTTCTTATTATCCAAACATTGGGAAATAATAAATATTTAATTATTTATTTTTGATATCTAAGAGTTGTGAACTTGTGACGATTTAAATATTGTTTTAGCACACAGTGTAACTGTTACGTCTTATTGCTCCAATTACGTCTGCCTCAAGGTAACGTTTGTGACCTCATTGTCATAAACGCTGTAACAAGTTACAGATTTGACTAACGTACTAACGGATTGCATTTGTTAACAGGTCAGCCAGGGCTGGATCCTGGGGCCGGAACTCTGTGATATGTGGACTTCCAGCGACGTTCTTTGCAGCTCCGCTTCTATTCTCCACCTCGTCGCTATCGCTACTGATAGGTAATTCTTTATTAACTTATTACATCAATCAATATCATTAGGTTACTCTATTCCAAAGTCAACAGTCTGTTTTTCTTTAACATGCATGTTGATCAATTGTCGTATTTATGTTCTGCATAATATGGGATTTCTACAAGAGTCATCCTCTTAGAGACTTAGATCAATAACTTCATTATTGCGATGTTTTGTTCAAACTTTATCAAATTGTATAAAACTTTAATGAGATTTGAAATAAAAAACACGAAAAAACTGAAACCATACTTTTCTGTACAGGTATTGGGCTGTGACAGATGTGGACTACATCCACATACGTAACGAGAGACGAATCTTCACGATGATCTTCCTAGTGTGGGGGGCGGCGCTGGTGGTGTCCCTCGCGCCACAGCTGGGCTGGAAGGACCCCGACTACCTCGCCAGGATCACCCAGCAGCAGAAGTGCCTCGTCAGCCAAGATCTGGCGTACCAGATCTTCGCTACTTGCTCCACGTTCTACGTCCCCCTCGCCGTCATCCTTATCCTCTACTGGAAAATATTCCAAACAGCCCGAAGACGCATCCGAAGGAGAAGAGAACCACCTCCACCCAGACCAACCTCCGCAGACGGTGCCCCACCTTCAGGAAGACCTGTCCAATCAGCCAGAGACAGGAGATTCGTCAAGAAACGCTTCCTGAACCTCAAAAAGTGCAACCAACGCACCAGAGCAGAAACCTTAGCGGCGGCTCTGCTCCTCACCGAAGGACAGAGCACCTCCACGGTCGACACCTTGGACGAGGAGCCCAGAACCACTGCGTTCACCGTCAACGAAAAGGCCCCGGCAAGTGTGTCGCCAGAAAAGTCTTCCTCGACCGTTACGAATGGGTCGAAACAGGAGCGGGCTATCGTACCCGCTCCCACGCATAGAGAGAAGAAGGAGTCTTTGGAAGCAAAGAGAGAGAGAAAGGCAGCGAAGACGCTGGCGATCATAACGGGGGCGTTCGTGTTCTGCTGGCTGCCGTTCTTCATAATGGCGTTGATAATGCCGATCTGCCAGACGTGTGTGATCAGCGACTACTTAGCGAGTTTCTTCCTGTGGCTCGGCTACTTCAACTCGACGCTGAACCCCGTCATCTACACGATATTCAGCCCTGACTTCCGCCAGGCGTTCGCGCGGATCCTCTTCGGCACGCATCGGCGCGGGCGCAATAAAAAATTCTAACGAAAATGTCCCTACTATGTATATAATTGAGTCAAATACGACTACGGACTATGTTATTCTCCTACTTGTATAATATTTCAAAGCTTTCTGTATGTTATACATACTTATCGTTAGTAGTGAGTGTAAATACGTTAAGACGGAGGTTTGTAAATAATATTATAAAGGTATATACATTATAGATGACGTTGAGAATTGTTTTTTTACGCGTTATAGTCTATGCAGCCGCGTTGGCGTCGCCCGAGAGTCCGGGGCGGCCCCCTCGCCAGCTCTTATGTTGTTTCAAGTGACATTACGAAATAAATATTAAAATTATATCAGAATTAAATTTACTGTATCATTTTAATCCTTGGTGTTTTACTTTTCTCAAACTGTGGTGAAAAAGTATGAAATTAGTGTAAAATACATTTTAGCCTATTTTTTTTTATTTGCAATATAAAAAAATTGTTCAAAGCTCAAAATTGAATCTGGTCATGATGTTACATTATGAGTACATTTGATTCTTGTGATGTTACATTGAGTACATTTACATGCTTTCAATGTGGAAGCACATTAAGATAAAATTTTATGGCTTTTACATCCTACCGTAGGGCACAGATGAAGAACATTATCGTAAAAAAGTTTGTATCACTGGCTGGCACAAAGTAATCGACAACAGTCAGTCATTAAACAAAAAAGAAAAAAAATCAAGTTATTGACGTTTTCTATTAAAGAGAAGTAAACACACATAAATTAATCTCATCTGTTCTAACTAGGGATTGCAATCCAGCGGCGTTTTCAATCCAGCTGGATTCTTGCTGGACTGACCTGAATCTAGCTGGATCCAGCGCGGATCCAGCAAAATGTGGAACGCAAATAAAGAGACGAGATTTTTAAGACTTTTTTATTATGTAGCTAGTTTTCCGCCCACGGCTTCACCCGCGTGAATAAAGGGCTGTTTTTAGGGTTTTCCCGGAAATTATTCGAATTTTTCTCACCGTAAAAACCATCCTTGAACTTCAACGAACATTTAAAAAAAAATTGGTCCAGGCGTTGTTGAGTTGCTTGCTTGCACATTTTACTTCTTACGATAATTTATGAAATACGGCTAATCAGTAGAAAATAGAAGTATATAAGTCTAACAAATCCTTTTAAAATTAACTACGAAAAGGACCGTAATTTAATCTGCAATCTATCTTTTGTATCAATAGAAGTTACGAATCCGAAATATTCGTCTGCGATAATTAGGCAGTTTAAAATCTGACGACATGAGTCTGACCATTTCTTTTTTTGAATCCTCTGGAAGTAAATGAGCTGGCTGCTGAGAATGCCCTTTCGGCCTCTACACTGGTCGGTTTTAGGGTCATTACCTAAATAGTCATACACCATAGAAAAATGTTCACCACGCACTCCTTCGGTCTCATAAACGCTCATTTCTTTTCAAGACCTTTTCGTAATCTAATTGACCACTTGGCTTTGGCTTTTGTTTATTAAAGTTCTACTTCTCTCTTATAAGTTGCATCTCAAGCTCTTGCTCTAAAGTCATTTTCACGAGTTCTGCGTCATCATTTAGACCATTCTCTTCTAACTCCATGTTTTTGGCAAAGGAAAATAGACAATTTTTTTGCTGCTTCTTCATACTTTTTTGGATTTTTCAAGCACACAAACGTACCAGTAACTTCGGAGAGGCGCCGTTCACCGCACACTTCAATAGAACGGCAACGGCGTTTTGAAAATGGTGGCAATTCGAAACTAAGCAATAGAAATTTATATGTTTGCGGATCCGCATCGCTGGATCCAGCACTGTATGCTGGATCCAGCATGTTTAAAAAGGCGCTGGATCCAGCTGGATTGCTGTATGCTGGATCCAGCAATTGCAATCCCTAGTTCTAACAATAACAAAAAATTCAGCTTAAATTTTGCCTTAATACCTTTTGCAATGCAAATGAAGGCCTTGATTCGTGAAAAATAACTAGATTCAATAGCAAACTCGAGGTCAACAAAACGATGTTGGTTTACAAAACTTTTTAATAAAATCCGGGCAACATTTAATAAATCACTTGTGCGATTTGGGACGAAATTTATCTCCAAGCAAAAAGCATTTTAGTCAACGTAAATAATATTGTATCTTCAAAAAAAAGATAAAAGGAAGTGCAATATTCTTAGTAAGTTGTTTAGAAGGGTGTATAGAGGATATGTGAAGAAAACATGAGGACAAATCATGGAAAAATCGCAAAAGCTTCTCACAAAAGTGTAATAAAAAGAACTGCTATGATTGTAGGTATCTATCTTAAGTAGATACGCGCCAACAAAAGTTGCATTTTTTGTAATAATTGATACAAATAACATTGACGTAATTCTGTAGCAGTATCCTATACCTAAGGCTGAGTTGCACCATCTAACTATACAGGGTGTTAGGTAAATGGGTATATGAGCCGACACCTAGCCCATATTAACATGGTCATATAAATGGTATGATGAAGTCAGAAAATTGATATCTTCATTTTAATTATTTTAATTTTCATACAAATCGGATTTTATAAAATTTATTTAGTATGAAAATTTAAAAAAATTAAATGATGATATCAAATTTCTGACTTCACCATACCATTTATATGCCCTTGTTAACATGGGCTAGTGTCGGCTCATATACCCATTTACCTAACACCCTGTATATCTAACCAAAACCGGTGTTTTTGTTTGGGGTTTGAGACTTTTGACGTGTGTTAAAGTTAATTTAAGATAGTGCAACCCAGCCTTAGTGGTTTGAGTAAACCTCTCTTTCTTTTTTACCCGACTGCGCCAGAAGGAGGGTTAGGTTTTTAAGAGTAGGCGCACACCGTTGATTTTTCGTCGGCCGATAGTTTAGTCGGACAGTTGATCAGTATGGGCATGTATGGGAGTGCGCACACTACGCCGATTCGATTTGGCCGATTCTTCATACAATTTAAAATCGGGCACAACTATCGGCCAACTACAAATCAACGGTGTGCGCCTACTCTTAACCTATTATTTTAACAATATTGCCACTTTCTATTAGCGAGACTATATCGACACGATATTTATTTAGCGGTGTGACTTTTCCCATTTTATTTCGTCCCTCGAATGGGTTGAGTCAATAAAATATACAAAACAATATTCAGATGTGTCAGGAAGAAAATTGAGTCATGTGAATATGTTTATTTATACAGATCCCTTATCGCAACTCTATGTAAACAAGTTTCGGGCAAAGGGCCCGCGACTTTTTTCATTCAATCAGGAATCTTTGATTAGACGTAGTTAAACTATTTTTTTATTTGAAAGGAAAGAAAAAGCTGTCTGTGAGACAAATACAAGTCATTCAGATAAAAGTTTCAGTAGCAGGTGTTTCTATAATGTGAAAAATGCAAAAAAAACTAAATAATTTAGCATTCGACAAAACCAAGATGAACAACAATGATGAACAAATGTCTACTATTCCAAAGTCCAATCAAAGAATGCTATTTTTAAAACTACTCGTATTTAATTTAAACTTTAGCCTGAGTTTAGTCAGTGAAAATGACTCATTGTCAATGTAAATAATCATCATCATCATTTCAGCCACAGGATATGAAAACCATTGGGGGAAGCCTATGTTCAGCAATGGACGTCAATTTCGTTCGTTCGTTTCCACAGATATGGATTAGAGTAGATACAGCAAGTTGATCGTCAAAGCGTGCCATTCCGATATGTCNATGAGCATTGAGGGAGGCCTATGTTCAGCAGTGGACGTCCTATGGCTGAGATGATGATGATGTGGTGAAAAAATATGAAATGAGTGTAAAATACATAATAGAGATGACCCACGCTGATCTGTCCCACCAAACTCAATGACAGGAGGGCGGTACCATCGTTCAACTATATGGTTTCCAACATGGCAAAAATCGGAACCAGCGATCCGGTATTGACGGTAGCGCCCCACTGTCAATGTCATGGATTTTGGAACTACATCTGTCTATTCTAACCAGACACATTTGCAAATTAAAAATTGTTCAAAGCTCAAAATTGAAGCTTGTCATGTTACATTATGGGTACATTTTAAATATTGTGATGTTACATTATGAGTACATTTACATGCTTTCAATGTGGAAGCACATTAAGATAAAATTTTATGGCTTTTACATCCTACCGTAGGGCACAGATGAAGAACATAATCGTAAAAAGTTTGTATCACTGGCTGGCAAAAAGTAATCGACAACTGTCAGCCATTAAAAAAGAAAAAAATTCAAGTTATTGGCCTTTTCTATTAGAGGAGTAAACACACATAAATTAATCTCATCTGTTCTAACAATAACAAAAAATGCTGCTCAAATTTTGCCTTAATACCTTTTGCAATGCAAATGAAGGCCTTGATTCGTGAAAAATAACTAGATTCAATAGCAAATTCGAGGTCAACAAAACGATGTTGGTTTATAAAACTTTTTAATAAAATCCGGGCAACATTTAATAAATCACTTGTGCGATTTGGGACGAAATATCTCCTAGCAAAAAGCATTTTAGTCGACGTAAATAATATTGTATCTTCAAAAAAAAGATAAAAGGAAGTGCAATATTCTTAGTAAGTTGTTTAGAAGGGTGTATAGAGGATATTATGTGAAGCAAACATGAGGACAAATCAAGGAAAATCGCAAAAGCTTCTCACAAAGGTATAATAAAAAGAACTGCTATGATTGTATCTATCTTAAGTAGATACCGATTTAGCTGAAAATTGTCAGGGAGGTAGTTTAGAGCCAGGAGAAGGACATAGGATACTTTTTATCCCGTTCGAAATTAAAAAAAAAGTCTGCTTATTTATTGCCATTAAGGCGGAACAAAGTTCGCCGGGTCAGCTAGTCTATATTATAAAAGAAAGTCGTGTTAGTTACTCCACTTATAACTCAAGAACGGCTGAACCGATTTAGCTGAAAATTGTCAGGGAGGTAGTTTAGAGCCAGGAGAAGGACATAGGATACTTTTTATCCCGTTATTTATTGCCATTAAGGCGGAACAAAGTTCGCCGGGTCAGCTAGTAATTGATAGAAATAACATTGACGTAATTCTGTAGCAGTATCCTATACCTAAGGCTGAGTTGCACTATCTTACTAAATCTAACCAAAACCGGTGTTTTTGTTTGGGGTTTGAGACTTTTGACGTGTGTTATAGTTAATTTAAGATAGTGCAACCCAGCCTTACTGGTTTGAGTAAACCTTTCTTTCTTTTTTACCCGACTGCGCCAGAAGGAGGGTTATGTTTTTAAGAGTAGGCGCACACCGTTGATATTTCGTCGGCCGATAGTTTAGTCGGGCAGTTGATCAGTATGGGCATGTATGGGAGTG